CCGGACCCATCCCACAATCCTGTGCTGCTCCCACGATGCCTCGGGGCGGAGGCGGCACAGCGAGCACGGTGGCGCAGCAGGCGCCGACGACGACGACGACGATGGGTGACATGGGACGGACGCTCGCGTAAGAAAACGCTCGCGATTAACCGATTAACCGCAGGCGAATTACCTATTAAACTTGTTTACCAGGTCAGGCCCACTGAGCTATGTAGTTCCTTTTCACAAGCAACCTGGCCATCACAAATGATACCTCAACGAAGTGGTATATTACGTGAAAAAAAATATATACACATATATGCCGCTTTACGTTGTTTGAAATGCAATACTGGACCACTGATAAATCCTCCAGTGTAATTTGGTAATTCGATCCGTAGCTTCTCACTATGTGCTACTACGAGTTACGTGCCAAACTCTAAATAGTTTTGATCAAGGTAGAATTAGCTGTACCATTCTATACGATATTTTCTAGACTGTTTTTACTTTACCAGGTTAAGGCCCACTGAGCTGAATAGCTCAACGAAGTGCCTTCTCATATGGAAATTTACAGCAGCCAAATACCCTAAACGCATGATGTTGATTCTAAATCTGGACGGAAAAACCAGAAGAACCAGAGAAATATCAACGCGATCACGGGAGGGAAAAAAATCCACATGACCACGGGGAGAGACATGCACACAAACTCCAAATATACAGCAGCAGGCGTCAGGGTCAGGGTCAAACCCACGACCTGTATACCAGGCGAGGTAGTTAACATCTCCTAGCCACCGTGGCACCTGAATTTATCATCAGGAATTTGCATATACGCTAATGCACACGTATCCCTAGATTTATGAATGGGTTGCGATGTAAATCGCCACGGCTTGTCCCATTAATTTAATCCAAAGAATTTGGGATGCGTTCCAACACTACTCCTAACCCTAAAGACACACACATATATATCAATTTTAACAACACAAAAATAAAAAATAAAATAATAATAAGGAATGTAAGCATTCAAAACGACTGAAGAATAATTTATTGAAAACTAAAATAATGAACAATTTTTCATGGAACTCGCTAAAAGACCTGCATGTTGGAATGACTGGCAAGGTCCTGTGGAGGCGTTGCTGTCGCACTGCGGGGGGGGGCGCGGTGACGCTGTGGCTGATCGATGGCGCAGCCTCCCGCGTGGCTTCTTGTTTGATGACCTCACGGCGCGTGGCCGTAGTGACGTTTCGTTTGCGCGGAAATTCGATTTCGTTGAGCGAAAAGTGTCCGTAATTTGTCAATTAAGCTGACGCGACGTTTCGGAAACCGAACGTACGAAAAAAATCGAGGGAAACCTGTAGTCCTTTTAGCGATTGTTTCTGCAAGGGTAGGGGGGTGACGCTTTGATCCACGTGGTTGCCTGTATGCAGAGCACGAGCCCCTAATAGCGGTACAACTAAAAACTAACATTTAATGTCCAGTATGTTTAACTTCTTTCGCGCACCGCATGTAGCCAACCACGCTAATTGGAGGTCCGTGGGAAGGACAACAAACCGAACACAAAAAGCAGTTCTAAAGTAATGAGTTTTCAATATAGATGTAAAAGTTCATAGCTCCAGCAGATTCTTAATATCGAAATGGAGAGCAGATCATCGTTGTGAGCTCGTGTCACAGACAGACGGTCCGACAGACGGAGAGAGCTCCAATGTGTTACCGCGCTCAACATTAGTTGTAAACGCTACATGTGTGGTCTTGAGAAATGTATAAAAGGTGACGTTTAGGGCAATAAGTTTTTTTCCCATGTTAAGGTCGCACACGCTGTTGTTATGAACGAATGAGTTTGAGTGTTTATGTTCACTGCTTGCGCACCACTACCAACGAAGCAGCAGCGGCAGCACCAAATAATGTGTCCGGCGTATCGCTTAACGAGGCTTTGGTAAATCGATACTTGGATGAGACTCTTTAACTAGACGCCCACATTCGAGGAAGTCGCGTTTGCAATGGCGGAGACGGTGTTCAGAATCGGGATCTTTTTTTTTTTGCTGGAGGAATCCGAAGAGCTATGAAGCTCTTTTCCACAGATGTTTTGTTGGGCGATATTGCACGAGATTCTGAACTTTGGTACGGTTTTTATGACTGATGGAAGGTTATGGACGTGGTCCTCCTGTTGTAACCCCTCTCCCATTCCGATGACGCATGTGTACGTCATCGGTTTTTGTTCAGATTCTGTTCCGATGACGTACCTGTACGTACGTCATCGGAATGGAATCGGAAAAGGCCACGCGGGGGGGAATGTGGCACACTTTGGCACCAGCTATCACAGTGCAGCGGTCGTGTTGCTATAGTTCTCTGCAGTGAGTACAGCGACTTTAAAAACAGCGGCGCTACCCCTTGCTAAGTCTAATTAACGCTGAACCGCTCGCGCGTTCCGAGATTCGGCGGCGAACGGGACACCTACGCTGCAACTTGCGGACGTCTCGGAGCGAGAAAGGGTTAAGAGAAAAATACCCAGCTGCATGTCAGCCGCACTAATTGGGGGCGAGAGGGGGCCGTGTTCGACCTGGCAAAGAACGCACTTTCTCATGTTTAGCGCCACGCTCGCGCGCTTCTGTCACTGCAAGGGCCTCGGCTCAGTCGACACACGAGATACTTTCCGCATCGTCATTATTATTATTACTGGACGACGTCGGACTGCGTGCTACCACGTGGTTGTCTGCCAGAGCCATGAGAAATGTTCGGCCACTTTATTTTGTCCCGCCGAGCGACCGCTGCGAGACCTTGCTTGACTACGTTGCATTGGTGTCTCCCATTGTCCCTTGTGCAGGCCGCCGCAGAGTCCGTTCCGCGGGGTGGCTGGGACCGTACCGGGTTTTGAGAACCACCCGGCATACAGGCAGCATCTGCACTGGCTGCAGCAGGTCTACGCACGGCAGTACTACCTACGATAGTGAGCATTACTCCACCACGCCTGCCCCTACCTCCACCACCACCATTAACACTACCACCGCCAACGACGTCGCTGCCACCACCACCGTCAGCACCAGCATGACCGTCACCACCACTGACGTCAAAGACAAAGATCCCACGTATAGCCTTAACAAGCTGTGGGGGCAAGTGCTTGTAACAAGCACCTATTAAGGCCAGCATGGCACATGAGGGGGTCGGTGGCCAGCACCACCGTTACCACCACGACCACCATTACCACCAAACAAAGACACCACCACCGTTACTGCTACCGCCATCCAGAATCATAATCGGTCTTTATCCTGGAGATATCTGAAGAGCTATGAAGCTCTCTTCCACAGATGTCGACCGCCACCACCAACTGCATCACCACCTTCACCCACCACCACCATCACCACCGTCTCCACTGCCACCTATAAAGATGTCTCTCATGCTGTGTCCACAATGAGCGAAAAAAAAAAACCGTGGTTGAGTGATTCACCAGATTCGTGGGGACTTGTGCTGAATACCGTATCGCTTGCACACAGTCGTCCCCCATACCAGTGGTTCTCAACCGGGGGTACGCGGACCCCCGCGGGTAACGTCGCAATCTCCCAGGGGGTAACGTGAGGTGATTTATTAATGCATGAAATTATCCCGTACATGAGAGTCATCGGTGAATAATCGCGTTGCATGAATCTGCCAATATACAATAACTACGATTAAATTTAAATCCATATGGTAACCTAGGACGATATAAAATATATTTTTAAACTCATTGATCATGAACAATGCGGTTTCCAAGAGTAACCAGCGAGCAGAGCGTCCGTTGAATTTTTACATTCGCTCGCAGTTATTTAACTAGTTAGGATTTACCTCACAAAATAGACAATTGGTTACAGTATTGATATCCATTATTCATACATTGATTTATCATAACCACGTTGGGTCAGGCAAGGGGGGGCGGTGGTGTACACTCGGTCGAAACGATATTCAACAAGGAGCGATCACAGTAGTAGCCAAAAAAAGGTTTAGAACCACTGTCCGAGACATCCATTACTGAGCAGTGTCCTGGATGAAGGCCTCCATATGCCATATCGGTCTTGGCGGATGTTTGACGATGCTGGGTCTGGGTTCGCACTGCAGGGCGAGCCAAGCATTGTTCCACACCACCCCACCTCCAATCTTGATTATCTGAGGAAAATCTGGAATTGATGTCAATTCCTGACCGCCATTCCCCTACTCTATTTAAAACGAATTTTCTACATTTTCAATAATTTCTTTAGAACTGCTTGTTGTGTTTAGTTTGTTGTCCTTCCCCCCCCGCACCTCCGATTTCGCGCCGTTGGCTACGTCCGGTGCGAAAGAAGTTCAGCGTACAATCGTACATAATGTTTAAAAATGAATTAATTGGCTGAGAATATCTTAATATATATCGAAGGCTGCAGAGCCAGGGCAATTGTTGATCGCAAGGGCTCACCGCATCACTGCTGCCTTCCCGCTCGTCCGTGGTTTCTGCTCTCGCCCCTCCGAGTTGTCCTCTCTCCCTTAGAGAGCGAGCGAATACTGTGCGCCTTACAAGTTGAAGTTCGTATTGTTCTTATTACTGCATCACCGATAAATACGTGTGCTTTGGAGTGTAACTAACGTGTGAGATGTTGTCCAGTGGCATGGTCCAGGGTTCACCAGCCGTCAGCCACGACCACTCGGCCAATGGGGACGCGGGAGACGTTGCCGCCCCCGACAGGGCAGCCAATGGACATGTGGGCGGAGCCATGCTGGGAGGCGTCGTCCATGTGGGCGGAGTTGACGTGGGCCGGCCGGCCAATGGCAACGTGGCGGCTCGAGAGGGCCCCCTAGCGGCGGCCAATGAAAACGACGCAGCGGGGCGACCGGCCGACGTGGGCGGGGCCGACTTGGGTGGAGCCAATCGGATTGCGGCTGCGGAGGGGGCGCCGGTCGGCGGTGCCAACGCGCGCGGGGCATTGGTCGCGGGCGCCAACGTGGTGGGGGGGGCCAACGTAGTGGGGGGGGGCATTATTGGAGGGGCCATGGGGGGTGGGGCCATGGGGGGAGGAGGAGGAGGGGGCGGTGGGGCGGTGCTCGGGGGGGCTCTGGTGGGAGGAGCCATGGGCGAGGACGATGGAATGGGCCGTGCCGATTGGCTGGACTGGCTGCACTCGCTGGCGTGCGGAGCGGCGCTCTTCGCGATCCTCTACCAATACTCGTCGCTGGGCCGCATGCTCGTCGTCATGGTCACCGTGCTGCTGCTCTACCTGTGAGTGGTCACGTGACCTGCTTGCGTGGTCTGCCCTCCTCGGCGGATTTTCGTGAAGTCCTTTGAACTTTCACGGTCTGCAGGTGTTTGCGATTCAATGAAATGCCTCGATTCGGCATCTCGATTCTGATTCGTCGGTGGAAATTTGAGTGAACAATTCAGATTGTACGTAATTATTTTTGTCCCCATTGTACCATCTAATTTGTACGTAAATCCGTAACGAGAAAAACACCCACAATAACATTAAAAAAATAGTGTAGGGTGGAAGACGGTGCAATTCTTCTGGAAATGCCGATGGATTTCTGCAAAACGCATGAAGGCCGAGTGCTTTTCACCCACGTTTGCGTGTTGCTTTGCAACTCGTTTGCACTGCATACATCCTGTCTGTTCGTAGCACGCCATCTCGTTCGTGCTGTCCGCAGGCACATACAGTTAAACAAACAAAAAAAGTTAAAATATATCGGGATAAAACATTTCCCTTGGATGTCCTCACCTCCGATTTAGCACGATTCGCTACGCATGGCGCCAAACAAGTTCAACATACAGTAAATATATATTTTTAAATGTATCGCAATTTTTAAAATGTCCCGTTTCACGATTTGCAGGCACCATGCTGCCATCTTCCCCTTCCGCCGCGCCGCCCCGGCCAACGTCCCCGCAAACCCAAGACACCAAATCGCCGCCGCCGACAATCGGAACGACGTCGCCGCTCGGCCGGCTCCCGCGGACGCCGCCGCCGCCGATGACGCCGCCGGCGGCCCTGCGGACGGAGCCAGAGAGGCCCGCGCGGCCGTCGACGGCGGCGGTGCCGCAGCGCTGCCGCCACCGGCACCACCGGCGGGCGTGCACGGCTGGACCCGCGCCATCTCCGTCTCCGTTTGCTCCTTCTTCTTCTCGTTTTTCGCATCGCTGCTGCCCGAGGGCCCGCAGCACAATGGCCGGAACTGAATGCCACCACCACCACCTCCTCCTCCAGCTCTTATTGTTGCTGCTGCAGTAGCAAGTTGAGGGGGGGGGTTGTTGCTGTGTGTTTTTGCGCGCTCACTTTTGAAGGGAAGAGCGGCGGCGCAATTTTTCCGCCCCCGATTCTGTTGTCGGACGTTGGCTTGTTTTCGTGGTTATCTCAAAATCGGTCGGGAAAAAAACGAAAGGCCTTCGCGGGGGTCAGATGATCGCAGGAGTGGCCCAGTGTGTGACGCGTCCAGGTAACAATTGAGATCGCACAAAATGCGACACGTTTTGCGAAAATTCGCAAGTGGCTTAACGATGCAATAATAGACGAGGACGTTTTTGTTGGCAAAAGTTTTTGTTATTAATTTTAGGCGAACGCCCATGCAAATGTAATATCACCGGGGGTTATATTTAAAGGAAGACACAACCCAACAATGAACTGGGAAGCTACTAATGGTCATTATCAAAGCGATATTGATCCGGTGAAGTTTGACCAAGCATGTGTTTTTTTTGGTAAAAATAAAACAAATTTGTAACGCCCATACTTCCAGCGCCCCAGCTTCAGAAATACGCGCTGCCATTCCGTAGTTTCTAATTCCCCCTTAACCGTGAAAACCGACGGACGCAGGAGCTGACGGTTGGTCGTCGTTAACGCGATCAATTTTTTTGTTTGTTATTTCGTCACCTTCGATTAACACGGTAAGGCTACGTACGGTGCGAAAGAAGTTCAACATGCGTGCATCATTAGCCCCGCGATGGCCAGTCTGCGACACATGGCCTACGACTTGCGTTGCTGTAAAAAGAAAAACGGCGGAGAATTTGCCGTTACGTCTTCCTTTAGATTGTCGCTCCAAGCTAGAACCATGGCTTCCATCCAATCGCGAGACAGAGAGCTGCTTTTCAGCAGCACCCACCCAGTTGGAGCCGCGCAACCACTGAGTGCGTCAAGCCCTGCGCTATTTCGCCGCGGCTCAATTCCGCGCTCGCCATCTTTTTTTCTGGCCGCCGGTCGTAGTAGACTGCTGGTCGCCGACACGCGTCTGGGAAGCCACATCCTTGGTAGCGAGGAGGCATCCTGGACGTGGCGTGCTCAGAGTGGGGACATATTTTTTCAGGAACTCGGTCGCGGGTCGGCTCCGGCCATAATTACAAGCCCCAGGTTGCGCGCCGCCAAAGGTGGGTGCGGGACAGCAAGAGCGAAATGCACCGAACGGGCCCCCAGTGCCGAGGCTGCGCGGACGTCGAAACGCGGCTGACGGAAATCCAGAGGGGTGTGACGCATCTTCTTTCGCGATGCCGGAATTATTGCCGTCGGCCGTGCCGTTTCACTCGCGAGCCGTACGAAAACTTGCTTTTGCGTTTATTTTTGCGTCTTCCGTTGTCGCACACCCCAGGATCGCCAGGCTCGCGAACGCGAGTTGCCCTGGGCCGCCGCTGCCCCCCCCCCCCCGCGCTGCGAGCGTCGGTCTCCGCGCGCTCGCGAGCGTGGCCCTCGCGAACGTGCCCGGGGTTTCCCCCATTCGCTCGGTCGCGCGAATAACTGTCGCCATTGATGCGAAGGGGAGAAAAAGATTCGGAGAATCGATGAGATCGACTGTAAAATAACGGTTTTGAGGCTGCTGCTTCTGTGACCGGAGCTTTGGGCGCGAGTTGGATTACACTGCGCTCCTGTAACACGTCACTTTGTAAGCGAGGGTTGGTGAATCGCACACAGGGACACTCGCAACACAGTCGTGAAACTCCCTCCCTACCCGTGGGCATTGAGGTCGCCACCTCCTCCGGCTTGTATTTACGTATGTTGAACTTCTGTCGCACTGTACGTAGCCAACCGCGCTAATCGGAGGTGCGGGGGGCGAAGAACAACAAACTAAACGCAACATGAGGCGGTTATAAAGAAATTAGTTTTCAATCTTGCTGTACTGCCATCATACCCTGGCTTGTAGCACTACAGCAAGCCGGTTGATTTTCATCTACGCGTGGATTCAGTGTCACCACCCTCACGCGCGTGGCTTTTTCGCCACGTGCTCCGGTTTCCTCCCACGTGTATAAAACTCTCCTTGATGCAGTCGGCCAAAACATCCCGATTTATAAGACCACAGAGCTTGGGGAAATTGTTGACGCCCGTTTTGGCTGCCTTCTGGATCATTCTTCACCATTCGTGACCATTCTGTCGTCTTTCTGAGAGCGAACTCCGACTGAGCACATTACAAATTATATTATTATCGTCGCCATGCACAAGCGAATTAAAAAAATAACACGTTCTTGGAAATATTTGAACGGTTGTAAAGAAAGTGTTTCCCGACGTTTGGAGAGATGATGATGATGACGATGTTGTTGTTCCACTGGCCTTCGATATTTCCTGAAGAAAGTCGATTGGCTGACACAAGGGGATATTTATTTCCCGAAAATTGACGGCATGAAAACGAGGCACCCCGAGAAATGTAACTTTTTTTTTAGTCTCTCCAATATCCAAAGCCCTTCCCCAAGGTAAATATCTTCAGGAATTCAGCCACGAAAAAGTCTGATTGAAATTAATCCCCGATTTAAAAAACAAAAAACGGGTATTATTTTCAGATAACCACTTAATAATAATAATAATTTACATGTATTAGTAAGGCGCCTTCCACTAATGTCTCAAGGTGCCTTTGTTCACGAGATAAAATAGACCACTTTTTCAAAATGCATGACACTCAAGACGAGGATATATATGTATTATATACACATCTCTGCATGCACGTGATTTGTTTTCGTCAAATTGTATAAACTTACAATGCAGGGAATGATTGGGATATGGGTGCCACGGTGGCTAGGAGATGTTAACTACTTCGCCTGGTATACAGGAGGTCGTGGGTTCAATCCCGACCCTGACGCCTGCTGTATAATTGGCGTTTGCGTGTTCCCCCTGTGGATTTTCCTCCAGGTCCTCTGGGGTTTCCCTCCATATTTAGAATCAACGCGCATTTACGGAGAGTATTTGGCTGCCAAAAGTGTCTACACGATAGGACCACTCCGTTGAGCTCTATCATTTCTGATGGCCAGGTCGCCCCTGCAAAAAGAGCTGCATAGCCCAGGGAGCTTTACCTGGTTAAAAATATATATAGTTGAATAATTTCGTTGAATTTCGTTTAACTTTGTTTTCCGAAGAATAATTTCTCCTCCTTGGAATTTATCATGGCCTAAGAATTCAATGGTTCAGATCCCTTTGATCCGAACCTCGGGGCCACCCTGAGGGTGTGGGGGGGGGGGTTAATGGCCTTCGCACAAAAGAGGGCCCCACAATAGACCTCTGGGAGCCTCTGGGTGGCCGTGCCTCGTTTGAAATATAAATGTAAAAAAATATATATAAATGTAAAAATCTATACATTCATTACAATTTTTAGCTGCTCCGATGAGCTGAGATGAGAGGGTGAGCGGGTGGACGCACTCATCCTTTCTGGCAGAACTAAGCCACTGACGGACATTCCACATTGCTCTGGCAGCTGCCAGTCCATCCACAGCATGCCTTCCGTTGACTTGCCACAGAGTGACAGGGCCTACTCAAATGCAAAACCTCGTGGGAGCTCTGCGGGAAGTCCGCGGTGGTGTTTTGTGTTCGAGTAACCATACCGGGCCTTGCCATAGGTGTGTGGAATGCATAAATAACTCAAGCGAATTCATGCCTTGGGTCGTGAGGCGAGGTGAGGTATACGGACGGTTTACTAAGTTTACAGGCACTTGCCCTTAACGTTGTGTTCTCTACATAAACAGTATATATACACGCCCTCATCCCTGTGAAAATATCAATGCGTTATGTTACAGCACTCCCGTTGCAATTGTAAGTTGTTAAAATCTAGTCTTGGCTTTAAGCTCCTACTTATAGTATACTTTGTAGTTTGTGTAACCATTATATTTCCTTTTAATGTTCTGATTTAAGTTCAAATCATGCTGCTATTTGCATCGTTTTCAGATTGAGACTTTTTTGTTTGTTATTTGGAGTTCTAAGCATGGCAGGGCATCGTCACCCTTGCGTCAAAGGAAGTTGATGTGCCGGAACTACTTCCAAGTCCCTGCACCATGCTTCTTGTCCTTACGTTCCTCGAAAATAGTGTTTGATACATGCCAATCAAATGTACAGTATATATTTTTAAATTCAGCCAAAGCTTAATTCGTTTTTTCGTGTGTGTGTGTGGGGAGCGGTAGTGTAGTGGTAAGCGCGCTGCGCTAGGAATCTGGCGACCCGGGTTCTATTCCCGCTCACTGCCACCACCAGTAACGGGTGTCTGAACCGATCCTGGGCCTTCCCTAGGTCGATTGGGCCTTAAATGAGTACCTGGTGTGGTGTGTAAACATCGCCATTGTGGAGACAAAGGCGGTCGGGCGTGATGCTGACCACCCACCCCCTTGTGCGCCGTGCCGGCCTTCATAGGTGCTCGCTAACAGCACTTGCACCAACAGTCTGTTACAGGCTACACGGGGGAATCTGTATTTGTCCCAGAAAGCTCTGTGACCGGCTCCAATGGGTTATGTACAAACATTGCATTATGTGGAGGAGGAACACATTGTGGATGGGGGGGGGGGATAGGAGATGGCGTATTTTTGGGAGGAGGCGGCCGAAAATGATCTCACACTTGGTCTCTGTGTTCGGTCATTGATTTGGCTGAGAAACCCCGGTATGATCACGGGCGGCTCAGTTGCATGTTGATTTTGTTGAACTGGGTGAGAGCGCTCGGTAGACCAGGATGGTCTCGTCCACAACATTTTGACGTGGGGCACCAAAAATGGCAAGAACAAGTGAAACGTACTGTGGCGATAAAAACGAAGAGGGGAAAAAAACTTACCTGGGACACCATGAGCACTGTGAAATTAGCGCGCAAAGTTAAATCGGCTCCAGAGACGTTAGAACAGATACCAGGGTGGCTTTGGTATTAATGTGTAAGCCATCAAGGATGGACGATTCTAAATGCAATTGCACGTGAACTTCTACAGAATGAGCAGTTTAGATTCGAATCCAGGATGTCAGCAGCTCTGTGCGTCTCTGACGGTGTTATCCCTCTGACTATGTCACGTGTCTACCGTGGGGACATTTGTCGTTTTCTGTGAATACGATTTACTGCCGAGCAGCAGCAGCCTGGACCACCACGATGCTTATCAGACGTTGTTTTAGACCAGGGGAAGGGGAATGTCCGGCCCGCGGGTTGTATGAGGCCCGCGAAATCATTTGGTGTGGCCCTGCCAAGGCAAACGCAGGCGGGACTCGAAATTCAATAAATCTAGGAGCAAACCTGGAAAAGCAGTTGCGAGTAGCAACATCGTCAATACCGGCTAACATCATCACACGCCTCGCCAAAGAGAAGCGGTTCCAGCCATCGCATTAGAGGGCGAGTTAATTAAATGTTTGAGCAAATTTAACGGCCTAATTTTTAAGTTCATAATTTTGTATGGCCCGCGAATGATGCTATAAATATCCCAAATGGCCCTTGGCAGAAAAAAGGTTCCCCACCGCTGTTTGAGACCGACGGAGGGTGAAGGGGCAGCTCTGCAATTGCTGGCTCACGCCACTCCTGGCCAAAGGGCCTCGACTTTGATGGCTTTTGTGGCGCCACTCCCTCGCCTGGTATGCAGGAGGTCGTGGGTTCGATCCCGACCCTGACGCCTGCTGCTGTATAATTGGAGTTTGCGTGTCTGTCTCTCCCTGCAGTTGCGTGGATTTTTCTCCGCGTCCGCCGGTTTTTCCCTCCATTTGGAATCGACGCGCGTTTAGAGTATTTGGCTGCGATAAATTTCCACTTCGTTGAGCTTTCATTTGCGATCGCTTCTGAAAAAGAGCTATACAGCTCGGTGGGCCTTACCTGGTAAAAAAAAAAAACAGTTTAGTTTAATAGTTTCTTTGGCCTAACTCTACAACACTGGCCGGTCAACGTCATACTTAACCCCCACTGCACGTGACCGGCCTGCCGATTGACCGACCGACTGTGATTCCAGTTATTGTTTTCATTTCTTCTTGGGAAGTTGAAGCAACAACAATATTTTCTCGGGGGGGGGGGGGGGGGGGGGGGGGGGGGGGAGGGATTTTTGTGGGGTTTTATTTGTTGTCGTTGATTGTTGTTGTTGTTGCACTTTTGCTTCGGCTTTCTACTTCTGATGAGCAAGTGGAATTTCTGGCCTCGCTTGGGTTGAAGGGCAACGGCGGAGGCTCCCGGAATGCGTTTTGCGCCATTGTTTTTGCCACGATTTAAATTTTTCATTTTAAGTACGGAAATAGTAACGATGCTCATTCATGTCATGCGGCGGCTCACGCGGAAAGGTCGGGGAAGCGCCGTGCGATGCGTGTGAAAATGTGAACACACTCTGCGCACAACAGGGATCAAACCAGGGAAAACAAGATACTTAAAAAATATATATACAATTATGGTTAAAGAAATACAATTGTAGTAAAGAAAATGAGGATAATGTTGAGCTCCGTACAGCTGATGTGTACAATAATAATAAAACTCACGCCCCGTGAAAAAGCCGAAAAAAACAAATTGGCTAAACGACAGTTGTGAAGGGAATGTTATCTTCGAGTGAGAATATAGCAACAGCCCAAGCTTCGCTAACTCGGATATTGTATTTGGGAACGGGCGGAGGGGGGGGGAACTGAGGTGAAAATACAAAATAAAGTATCGCCGCTGTGTTTTCGATGTCTCATCTCGGAAGCTCCGCGCAACTGCGGACAGTCACGCGTCAAATTCCTAAAATAATAATACCATACTATAATGATAAACAGGTTTTGGGGTTTTTTTTTTTTAAGCTGGTAAGGCCCTACTGAGCTACGTAGCTATTTTTCAGAAGCGACCTGGTCACAATTGATAGCTCAGAGAAGTGGCTTATCGCGTGGAAATTTACTCTAAACGCAGGTTTCTAAATGGGGAGGGAAAAACCGGAGGACTCGGAGGAAAAAAATCCGCTCGATCACGGGGAGAGAGAGAGAGAGACACGCAAACTCCAACTACACAGCTAGGCGTCGGGGTCGGAATCGAACCCACGATCTCTGGGTTGTAAACATGAAATGAGCACCACCTCCCAATGCTCATTTTGAGCAGGAAATAATTGTGAAGTGGAATTTACACGGCCAAACCCATAGTGGGGAAACCCACCTGCGAAGAACACAACAGTTATAAAGTTAACATTTCAGTGGATTCTAATATTCCATTAATCGGTTAACCTTGCTGCCCAATGAGCCCATCATCCAGAGAGGGTGCAGCGCCTCTGCTGAGCTCAGAAGCTCAGCAGGTTTTTGACCCTGGATATAGTTAATGAGCCCAGACCAGAGATATTCACCTGTCGGAACCACCGGAGGTGACGGCACTTGAGCGGTTTCAATTTGCTCCACGCGACCGATAACACTGAATTGTGTGATACCCATTTGATATCAGACGGGTAATCGAGTAACTCGCTGCAGTGGCTAGGAGATGTCAGCTACCTCGCCTGGTATACAGGAGGTCGTGGGTTCGATCCTGACCCTGACGTCTTCCCGAGGTCGCGTGGATTTTTGTCAGGGTACTTGCGTTTTTTCCCCCCCTCCACATGTGGAATCGTACTCTTTGGTTCTTTTTGTAAAGTCACGTAGGTACATGTCGAATCAACATCATTTGGCCACTGCTATAAAATATCCACGTGATGATGATGACGACGACGATACGCTGCTTCGTTGGCTGAGCATTTGTGATGGCCAGGTCGCTTCTGAAAAAAAGCTGTATAGCAGCTTGGTGAGTCTTACCTGGTATTTTTTTTGTATATATAGTTTAAATATTGCAGGCAGTTCAACTGCACTGGGGCACACATGCCAGAGGGGGTGGCAGGCGGGGGTGGGGGGGGGCACTGGGCTATGATGAGGGGGGTCATAAATGATGCATGGCCTCGCACCAGGACCCACCAGCGCCACAAACCCTGTAGCCACGCGTAGAAATAATTTGAAAAAAAAAACGTGTGTTAGGATACAAAAAAAATGGGATGAAAACACTTGGGGTTTAGAACAAACGTTTCCAGCCGGTTGCTGTTATTCAAGAAGCAAAACGTGATTATTACGGTAGTGCAATGCCAAATTGTTTAAGAGTATATTTTGAAATGCATAATTTGCACACTGCTTGGCATTAATAAACAGATTTACGACGAACGTCTTGTGTCGTTTCATCCATGACTTTTGAGGTCGCCGTACGCCTGTCGGAACGATACAAAATCTCTGCGTGTTTTGCAAACATTTTTAGCGAGACCACACCGTGAATTCTACACTGATTTCAGAATTATTAGTTTTAATTTCTCGATGAGTCGACTACAAATTTTATTTGGTATTCGTAATTTACTTTTAGGTTAGGCCGTGCAGGTACAATGACAATTTTCAACTAAGCTACTATATACGCTCCACCACCCAAACCCAATCAAATCAAGTTGCCACGTGGACAAATAGTCCTATCGATTTCGTTTTTTCATTCTGATTACGGAACAGCATCGTGATCTCCGATTATCACGGTTGGCTACGTACGGTGGGAAAGAAGTTCAACCGACTTGCGTACATACATCACAGCGATTGTTTAAATTGCAATATTAGCTAATACTGTGACGGAGGCAGTACTAACACCTTGTTTGCGACGGAACTAGATGGGCCATACTAAAGGTTTTTTTTTGGGTTAGATCACGTGAATATAAATGTGCCGTTAAACTCAGCACCACCCAACACGGCCGATTTAGTAAGGTTTGTCACGTAAACAAAACGTGCCAATTAGTTACGACTACAACTACAGCACACCGGTCTAAATCTACATTTAAATATTGATGCTGGTTGTAATCACCAGCGTCGTTAACTCATTGTAAATGGTGTGGGTTTACTTTTTAACGCAACCGGTGTGGTTGAAAGGGTTAACTAATTGGCACGTTTTGCTTACGTGACAAACCTTACTAATTGGCTGTGTCGGGTGGTGGCAGGTTTAACAACATATCTACGCGATCTCACCCCACACAAATCTTTGGTATGGATAATGTTGGTCGCGAAAGCCTACTACGACTACTCCTACTACATGTTAAAACAACTAGATGGAGCACTCCACTGGTTATGGCCCTTGGGACTCAGTGGTCTCGTTGGAGGCTGAGAGGGGCGGCAAGACTTAAGAGATATCCCGTAAATGAGAGACAATCGCATGGTTAAGACGTTTTATTGCATCACGCTTTGCAAACGAGGGGGGTGGGGTGGGGTGGGGGAGTAATCCAAATAAAAAAATTCGTTTATCCCGGACAAATCTGATGAGCTATGAAGCTCTTTTTCACAGATGTGCAATCATCATCTCGTGTACAGGCCCAGGGGGGCTGTAGGGGCTGCAGTACAGACTCGGGTATTCATAGGCCTCTCCAAAAATATACACACACGCACATATACACTGCTTTACATTGCTTCAAAAGCAATACTGGAGCACTGTGATATATTCGAAGGTGCAATTTGTTAATTAGATCCATAGCTTTTCACTGGAAATTACTACTACTACTACGAGCTATGCACCAAACACTAAAATAGTTTTAATCAAGATAGAGTTAGCTTTACCATTCTATTCTATTTTTTGTATACTATTTTTACGTTACCAGATAAGGCCCACTTAGCTACGTAGCTCTGTTTCAGAAGCGTCCTGGCCACAAATGATAGCTCAACGAAGTGGCTTATCGCGTGGAAATTTATAGCAGCCAAATACTCTAAACGCACGTGGATTCTAAATGTGGAGGGAAAAACCGGAGGACCCGGAGAAAAATCCACGCGACCACGAGGAGAGAGAGACACCGCAATCTCCAAATATACAGCAGGTGTCAGGGTCGGAATCGAACCCACGACCTCCTGCATACCAGGCGAGGTAGTTAACATCTCGCCACCGCGGCACCCGCGTGTACTTTGTAACGTTAAAACTCCTGCACGTGCACAGGACGAACGCACAAGCACCCTTCTTCTGTGCGCGTACGGAATTGAAGTAACCCGAGGTGTGTCGCAATGAAGGCACGGAGGTCAAGGGAAGGAATCGATAAACAAAGAGGGGGCAGGTGGGGGGCTGCCCCCCCCCCCTCCCAAAACTATCACAGCCCTGGGCCTTTATGAATGACGTGACAGCAGCTGTGGGAAGGTGATGGGAAGGCGGCGGGGGGGGGGGGGGTGACGTTCAGTTTTGGCAGGAGCCCGTGTGCTGGAGCGACGCGCCGTTGAGGCGGTAGAACTCGGCTCGCACGATGCCAACGCGGGCAAACTTCCGGTCGCTGGGGTCCACGAACGCCCTCGCCTGCCGCCCGTACTCGGACGACGACAGCACGGGCACGGCTCGCGCCATCTCCTGCGCGACAAAGACAAAGGCCCCCCCCCCCCCGCACCGTCGTGGCCCATGCAAAGTGTCGGGTCCGAGTGCGCTTCGGGAGCACCGACAAAGGCCGACGCAGAGCGCCAGGGGGTGGGCGTGGCCAGCAACCGCACCCGGCTGCACCAGGTACTCGCTTAAGGCTGAGTCGACCTAGGGGAGGCCCGGTGTCGGCGGAGGTGGTAGTGCCGATGGTGGCAGTAGTGGCGGCGATGGCGCTGATGGTTGTGGCAGTGATGGTGATGATGTTGGCTGTGGTAGCGGCAGTAGTGGTGGTGATGGAGAATGTAGTGATGTGGTGGAGGTGGTGAAGGAGGTGGTGATGTGGTGATGGAGGAGGCGGCGGTGATGGTGATAATTGAGGCGGTGGACATGGTGATGGAGAACATCGTGATGAGGTGGTGGAGAATGCAGTGATGAGATGGTGGAGGAGGTGGTGTTGAGATGGTGATGAGGTGGTGGAGAATGTAGTGATGAGATAGAGAATGTAGTGATGAGGTGTTGGAGAATGTAGTGATGAGGTGATGGAGGATGTAGTGATGAGGTGGTGGAGGAGAAGATGGCGGTGGCAGAGGCCCCACCTCGGCGTGCACGTTGAGGCCCCGCGACTTGGAATGCTGGCGGTCATCCCGGTGGAGGTGTGCGTCGTAGCCGCCCTGCTGGTGGAACAGCACGTCGTACATGCACACGGCCGGCCTCTGCGAACAGTCACACCACAGCAGACAGTCATACCACGGTGGTGAGATGTTAACGACCTCGCCCGGTATACCGGATGTCTTTGGTACCATCCCGACACTGACGCCTGTAATATTTGTAGTTTTGCACGTCTCTCTTCCCGTGGCCGCGTGGATTTTTCTCCCGAGTCCCCCGATGTTTACCTCCACACGTAGGATCATGCATTTAGAGATATTTGGCTGCGATAAATGTCCACGTGAAAAGCCGCTTCGTGGCCGCTCCTGAAAAAGAGCAGCGGCGGCGGCGGCTATTGGCTCAGCCATCGGACGAGGACGGTCAACCGCACTGCGCGCTTCTAGACGCGCTTCTGCGGCCTGTCTGGAACGCTCCTCCGTCCGATATGAGGAAGCCACTGGAGCATATGCACGTGTTAAATAATCTGGATTGAAAACTCATTTCTTGAGCACTGCTTTTTTGAGTGTTTAATTGGTTGTTGTCCTCCTACCCCCCTCCCCCCCGCACCTCCGATTAGCACGGTGGGCTACATGCGGTGCGAAAGAGGTTCAACATGCAAACATACACACAGCTGGGCACCTCCATGGCGCGCAGTGACATCGTGGGAGACGACACAGTGAGAGTCAAGGGGCCGTCCATAAATGACGTCACGCGATTTTGGCCGATTTTTGACCCCCCCCTCCTCCCCCCCTCGTCACACGGCGTCACAAAAAGTCAGACCCCACCCCTCAAATATGACGTCACAAAGCTCTGCACCCCCCCCCCCCAAAAAAAACATTTCCATTTGGAAAATAAACATGCTTCAAATCACTTTAAACTATTGTCATTGTAGTGCGTATTTAATGTGGCGCTGCACTCTGATGTTGTAGGAGAAAACATTTATTAAAAAGGAGGCGTTGGAAAGCTGAAATTTTGCATAAAATTCACTTGAAAATATTTCATCGTCTAACTAAAACTGCAGATGTTCAGAATATTATATTGAAGTTCTCTTATAATTATAAACTATTAAAATTAATTATAACTATAAAAAATACTTGAAACTTTGTAGTAGAACTAAGCAAAACGGAGAGTACAATTATAACAATCACATTCATTCTACAGAATGAAAAGCCCTGGTAGAATCATTAGAATCAAAATGTTTACTAACAATCATTCAAAAAAATTACTAAATGTATGCTTCTCCATTCTCCCATGGAGAAGCAAAATGCTCCTTCATGGAATAAATCAAAGGTGACCTTAGTACATTTAAATAATCAAATAGTTAATAATGAAAATTAATAAAAATTAGTGTTTTGATTTAAAGCTTTCGTGACTGCAGAGATTCATATGCTTGGTTATTTCGGTAAAGTCACGTATTATTTTATTATTTCCCTTCTACGTGACTTTACCGAAAGAACCAAGAATATAAAAATTAGTTAATAAAGAATTAAAGCTTTCGTGACTGCATAAATTACTCATTGTTTTTTTTTCCGGTAAAGTCACGTATGTAGAAATACCATAAAATTACATTAAATTTTTATATAATTTTGATATCATTTAATGGTATTTCTACATACGTGACTTATATTAAACTTTAATATAATTTTATGGTATTTCTACATACGTGACTTTACTGGAAAAAAACACAGCGAATAAAAATTAGTGTTGTTATAACAATTCTATTGAATTAACATTTATTTAAAGTTGCGCATTTTTATGTGACGTCACATTTCTCAACCCCCCCCCCCCCGTCACACATCGTCACAAATGTCTGACCACCCCCCCCCCCCACTAGGTGCGTGACGTCATTTATGGTCGGCCCCTCACCAAAAGCCAGGGTCAGGACGCTCACCACACCATGGCAGCGGTGCCAATTTCACAGCGCAGTGCGCTATTCGCTGCACCTCCCCGTCCACACAGTACGATCGGGTGTTGTATCATTATTATTATTGTCATGATTACAGTCAACTATAATCTTGGTGCTATATTTTATTCTTGCGGACGCAATGGTCATGCGGTACTTGAAGTAAAACATAAATAAAGTTCACCCCTGCCCCGGTTAATCACTGCGCCACCGCGCTCCAAACCCCGAATATTGCTGCCAATTAACCAAAGTCGGAGGGGAAAAAAATCACCTTGACCTTAAAGCTTTCGTGACTGCATGAATTCATATTCTTCGGTTTTAGATAGGTTCAAAGGAAATAACATTTTTTTTTAAAACTACGTTTCGATCACAACGCAAGCGATCGCTTTGAACCCATCTACGTGACCTTACCGAAAGACCCAAATAATACAAAGTCAGAGGCTTTAATTTCTCAGCAAATATTTCCCCGGTAACCCCACAACCTACCCACCCACCCACCCCATCACCCCGAGGCTCACCAACCCCGAGGTGGTGGAGGCATTTTCCGGAGCCTCAGCCCCGGACAAACTCCCACGGGTGTCCTCCACCATCAGCGTGGGTGGGGACTTTCCACGTTCCCGTGCCGGGACCGAGCGGATCACCTCCTTAGCGGTGTTGAAGTAGCTGCTGCTGCTGTCCTGGTCTCCAACGTGCTTTGCCACGTTGCCCAGGGTAGACATCTGTGTCCGCGGAGCGTCCTTCGCTGCCTCCATTACAACAACAACAGCCACCACCAGCCACGATGATAAGCAGTGGTTGTTGTGATCGTCGTTTTTGTTGTTGTTGTTGTTTGCGATGCGCCCGCGGTTGTAGATTCACTGCTGCGCACGCAGTCGCCAAGGCAGTAGGCGGGGGGTTGTTGTTGTGCAGCAGGAAGCGTTGCCTAGCGACCGCCACGCGGCGCCCTGATTGGCTCGCTTCAAGCGGCGACGCCCGAGCCTGCTGATGAGTCGCTGAACGTGGAAACCGGTATCGGAGTTTTGTTTGTGTTCAAACAATGGTTCAAGCAAAGCCCGAGCCTGCTGATGAGTCGCTGAACGTGGAAACCGGAAGTTTTGTTTGTGTTCAAACAATGGTTCAAGCAAAGCCGGAACCTGCTGATGAGTCGCTGAATGTGGACACCGGTTCGGATTTTTGCTGGTGCTCTAACAACCAATGGTTCAATCAAATCCCGAGCCTGCTGAGATGTCGCTGAATGTGGAAACCGGTTCTAAGTTTTGTTTGTGTTCGAACAATGGTTCAAGCAAAGCCCGAGCCTGCTGATGAGTCGCTGAACGTGGAAACCGGTTCGAAGTTTTGTTTGTGTTCCAACAATCGTTCAAGCAAAGCCGGAACCTGCTGATGAGTCGCTGCGTGTGGAAACTGGTTCGGATTTTTGCTGGTGCTCGAACAACCAATGGTTCAAGCAAAGCCGGAGCCTGCTGATGAGTCGCTGAATGTGGAAACCCGTTCGAAGCTTTGTTTGTGTTCGAACAATGGTTCAAGCAAAGCCCGAGCCTGCTGATGAGTCGCTGCGTGTGGAAACCGGTTCTAAGTTTTGTTTGTGTTCGAACAATGGTTCAAGCAAAGCCCGAGCCTGCTGATGAGTCGCTGAACGTGGAAACCGGTTCGAAGTTTTGTTTGTGTTCCAACAATGGTTCAAGCAAAGCCGGAACCTGCTGATGAGTCGCTGCGTGTGGAAACCGGTTCGAATTTTTGCTGGTGCTCGAACAACCAATGGTTCAAGCAAAGCCGGAGCCTGCTGATGAGTCGCTGAATGTGGAAACCGGTTCGGATTTTTGTTTGTGTTCCAAAATGGTTCAAGCAAAGCCCGAGCCTGCTGAGGAGTCGCTGAATGTGGAAACCGGTGCTGGTGTTGTCTCACGGATAAGACTCACACCCCGCCATAGGAAACGTGGAATTTCCATCACTAGCCCGGGGCTGTGAAGCGATTCGCACTGCTGATCAACGCTCATTAGAACGAGGAAATCAACTTCCTATTCCTGACTGCTTCTACCAATGATGATGGCAAGATTAAATCACGTGCTATCACGATGGGCCATTTGTAGACATTTCCCCCCCCCCCCCCCCCCCATTGTAAGGGCACAGTGTTATTAACAAATGTATTGAGATGTTTAGTGCTTTACTGGCAACGCAGCAGAATCGCCAAATGAATTTGTCATAAGGGGCCGTCCATAAATGACGTCACACGATTTTGGCCGATTTTTGATCCCCCCTCCACCCCTCGTCACACAGCGTCACAAAAAGTCAGACCCCCCCTCAAATGACGTCACAAAGCTCTGCCCTCCCCCCAAACCACATTTCCATTTTTAAAATAAAACATGCTTCAAATCAATTTAAACTATTGTCATTGTAGTGCGTATTTAATGTGGCTGAAATTTAGCGTAAAATTCACTTGAAAATATTCAACGTCGAAATAAAACTGCAGATGTTCAGAATATTATATTGAAATTTTCTTATAATGATAAAATATTAAAAGTAATTATAACTATAAATGGAGAGTACAATTATAACAATCATATTCATTACACAGAATGAAAAGCTCTGGTAGAATCATTAGAATAAAAATATTTAATAACAATCATTCAAAAAAATTACAAAATGTATGATTCTCCATTCTCCCATGGAGAAGCAAAATGCTCCTTCATGGAATAAATAAAAGGTAACCTTAGTAAATTTAAATAATCAAATAGTTAAATTTTGATTTAAAGCTTTTGTGACTGCAGTAATTCATATTCTTAGTTCTTTCGGTAAAGTCACGTTGAAGGGAAACAATAAAATAATAAAATATATATAAAACAATAAAAATTCTCACGACGTTTCGACCATAACACAAACGGTCGTCATCAGGTGTGTCGGTTTGCATAAATTTATTTATTTTTAAACGATGTATTTATTTATTTATTTGAAAAAAACGTTACCGCCATGCGCAGCGATTTGGCAGTTTATTTAGAAGGACTAGTCCATCTATGTTCTGAAAAGAGGAGGGGGGAGACGGAAAATTAATGTATGCTGTCTGAAAGCCACTGTAAGCGTGAACAATCAATTAAGACCTGAAATGGTTTATCAAATCTTTCCAATGATTGCTAAGCCAGAATCCATCTTCTCGGTTGAAATTGTCTCTGTGCTTGTATATGTGGATAGCCTCATGAACGAATCTCTCATGGTAGCCAGATGGCTTACAAAGAACCTCTGTCTTGGAAAAGTCAATGTCATGTGAGCCTACTGAATTATAACAATGATCTGCCACGGCCGAGGTGTTGGTCCTACCGTGTTTAAGGTCTGCTTTGTGTTCACGAATGCGGTCCGAGACATGCCGTTTGGTTTCTCCAATGTAACTACTACCACAGAGGCAACTTAGTTTGTAGACACCAGGGTACTGTATGTCCGGAATCACATCTTTTACAGACGGAACCAGATCACGGATTTTATGTAATGTGTTGAAACGGACCTGGATCTTGTGTTTATTCATGATTTTGGAGATCTTTTTTGTGATCCCCGCAATGTAGGGTAAAGTGATGGTTTTGAAAGGCTCCTCAAGAGGGTCCTTCTTCATGGTTTGAGTGATAGCTTTGCGGATTGTATAGTCGGAGTAACCATTAGCCTTAAGAGCTTGGTGTACGTGCTTGAGTTCACTGCCTATGTGTTCCTGGTCGGATATGCATTGGGCTCTATGATACAGAGTCTTGATGAGAGAGTTCTTCTGTGATGGATGGTGGTGGGAATCCGGTTTCAGATAAGCATCCGTTTGGGTAGCTTTCCTGTAGACAGAGTGGCTCATTGAACCATCAGGTCTTTTTTTAATTAGGACATCCAAAAAAGGTAGCTTGCCATCTTTTTCGACTTCCATGGTAAATCTGATGGCTGGGTGTATGGAATTGATTTGGTCGAAGAATTTGTCTAGAGCAGGCCGGACATGTGGCCAGATGACAAAAGTGTCATCCACGTACCTCTTCCATAAGGTTGGGCGCAGAGTGGAAGTCTGGATGGCGTCAGTCTCAAATTTCTCCATGAAAATGTTAGCTATAACCGGAGATAGGGGGGAGCCCATTGGGGTGCCCTCAGTTTGTTTGTAGAAAGTTCCATTCCAAGTAAAGTATGTATTGGTTAAACAGTGTCTCACCAGGGGGGGTACCTCAGTGTTTAGTCCTTGATGAACCAAGTCTTCAATGATTGCGATGGTGTCAGGTACAGACGTAGCAAGATCTGAAATCGCTGCAACCCTCAAAAACGCTAAGATGCCAGCTAGCAACCTCAGCAAAGATGAGCGTTTTGAATTATATAAATTAAAAAAGAGGGATGATATTGTAGTCCTCTCAGCTGACAAGGGCAATGCTACTGTCATTATGGATAAAATAGAATACAACAACAAAATTAAAGAATTACTCGACGATGGTAGTTATACAAAAATAAAAAGAGATCCCACCAACAGCCTCGTCACACAAACCAACAAAATAATTTCTGATTCAACCGCATTAATTGATCAATCTAAACAGTTTTCATTGAAACCTTCTGCTGCCAGGCCACCAAGATTATACAGCTTACCAAAAATACATAAAGTAGATACACCCCTTCATCCCATCGTCTCTACTATCAACTCCCCCACCCACAAACTGGCTCGTTTTTTGTCTGAAATCCTGCGTCCTTTCACTGGAAAAACCACCTCTGCGGTACAAAATTCTACTCACCTGGTATCGACAATCAAGGGTATTTCCCTGTCCCCAGACGACCTGCTTGTCAGTTTTGATGTAGTTTCCTTATTCACCAAGGTCCTGTACCTGACAACATCGCAATCATTGAAGACTTGGTTCATCAAGGACTAAACACTGAGGTACCCCCCTGGTGAGACACTGTTTAACCAATACATACTTCACTTGGAATGGAACTTTCTACAAACAAACTGAGGGCACCCCAATGGGCTCCCCCCTATCTCCGGTTATAGCTAACATTTTCATGGAGAAATTTGAGACTGACGCCATCCAGACTGCCACTCTGCGCCCAACCTTATGGAAGAGGTACGTGGATGACACTTTTGTCATCTGGCCACTTGGCCGGCCTGCTCTAGACCAATTCTTCGACCACATCAATTCCATACACCTAACCATCAGATTTACCATGGAAGTCGAAAAAGATGGCAAGCTACCTTTTTTGGATGTCCTAATTAAAAAGAGACCTGATGGTTCAATGAGCCACTCTGTCTACAGGAAAGCTACCCAAACGGATGCTTATCTGAAACCGGATTCCCACCACCATCCATCACAGAAGAATTCTCTCATCAAGACTCTGTATCATAGAGCCCAATGCATATCCGACCAAGAACACATAGGCAGTGAACTCAAGCACGTACACCAAGCTCTTAAGGCTAATGGTTACTCCGACTATACAATCCGCAAAGCTATCACTCAAGCCATGAAGAAGGACCCTCTTGAGGAGCCTTTCAAAACCATCACTTTACCCTACATTGCGGGGATCACAAAAAAGATCTCCAAAATCATGAATAAACACAAGATCCAGGTCCGTTTCAACACATTACATAAAATCCGTGATCTGGTTCCGTCTGTAAAAGATGTGATTCCGGACATACAGTACCCTGGTGTCTACAAACTAAGTTGCCTCTGTGGTAGTAGTTACATTGGAGAAACCAAACGGCATGTCTCGGACCGCATTCGTGAACACAAAGCAGACCTTAAACACGGTAGGACCAACACCTCGGCCGTGGCAGATCATTGTTATAATTCAGTAGGCTCACATGACATTGACTTTTCCAAGACAGAGGTTCTTTGTAAGCCATCTGGCTACCATGAGAGATTCGTTCATGAGGCTATCCACATATACAAGCACAGAGACAATTTCAACCGAGAAGATGGATTCTGGCTTAGCAATCATTGGAAAGATTTGATAAACCATTTCAGGTCTTAATTGATTGTTCACGCTTACAGTGGCTTTCAGACAGCATACATTAATTTTCCGTCTCCCCCCTCCTCTTTTCAGAACATAGATGGACTTGTCCTTCTAAATAAACTGCCAAATCGCTGCGCGTGGCGGTAACGTTTTTTCAAATAAATAAATACACCGTTTAAAAATAAATAAATTTATGCAAACCGACACACCTGATGACGACCGTTTGTGTTATGGTCGAAACGTCGTGAGAATTTTTATTGTTTTATATATATTTTATTATTTTATTGTTTCCCTTCAACGTGACTTTACCGAAAGAACTAAGACTATAAATCAAATAGTTAATAATGAAAATAAAAAAAAGTGTTGTTATAACAATTCTATTCAATTGATATTTATTTAAAGTTGCACATTTTGATGTGACGTCACATTTCTCAAACCCCCCTCCCCACCTCGTCACACATCGTCAGAAATGTCTGATCCCCCCCCCCCCACGGTGCGTGACGTCATTTATGGACGACCCCTAACGTATAATTAAAGAAGTGAAAGCCGGAACTTAATGCTTGCGGAACTTAATTTGTTAGCGGTGGGGGGAGGGGGCTGGAGTCGCATTGTTTCCAGCCGGATCTTTTTTTAGTTTTGGCTTGGGGCGTCGCGACGGACCCGTGTTGGGAGGGAGGGAGGAGGATGGGGCCAGGGGTAATGGGGGGAGGGGGGCGGGGAATGGGGGGCGAGAGGGCGGGGAATAGGGAGGGGGGATGGGGAGGGGCGATGGAGAGGGGGGATGGGGAGGGGCGGGGAATGGGAGGCGGAGGATAAAAGGGGGGGGGGGGGCAGAAAATAGGGAGGGGGAATGGATCAGGGCGGGGGCGATAGGGGGCGGGGCGGAAAATAGGAAGGCGGAAAGGGAGGAGGGGCGGTGACATCTGACGGCGTGCCGGCAGTGACGTCACGCGGCGCGCGACACGGCAACGGCGCGCGCCGGGGCCCTGCGTCGCGCGTTCCCTCTCCTCGCCGCCCGCGTGAACCGTGGTGACCCCGCTCGTCGCGATTCATCATCGACACGGGCGGCGGCGTCGTCGTCGTCTTCAAATAATCGCCGTCGTCACCGCCTGCAGGCAACGTGAGTTCACCCACGGGCCTCGCAAGCGCGCGCGCGTGCGCCTTGTAAATCCGCACCGGGGTTGGCCGGAGTGAGCGACACCGAGCCGATCGTGATCCGGAACCGATTAATCGATTTAGCCCGCGCTGATTAGGACAAATCGATTGTCACGACGTTCGTCCACGTTCGTGGACCCGCGCGATCGGGAGTCGGTGAGGTGATCGATTATTGGAGCGAAACTCGCAATCAAAATATTGAATCCGGGAGAAATCCGATAAGCTGCGAAGCTCTAATTTTTTTTGTTTAAATGCCCAGCAGGGTAGGCTAAGGGGGGGGGGGGGCACGGGAATCAGAACGTCACAACAGCGAACAATACACAACACGACACGAGTGCAAAGTATAGCGGCTTGAAGGTGAGCGAATCGCCAAATAAGCAGAGGCGTACGAGTTTGTTGTTTACGCGGGCGAGAACTCGCGAGATGACGATGGTTGGTCATCAGCGGAGTCGCCCTCATAACTTGAATCTAAATTGTCTTATGGTTGTTGTTGTTGTTTGACTTGCATCACGCTGGGATTTGTGCACACAGCGTTGTGATACGGTGGAGGGAGGGGGGTTTGTTTCCTTCTGGAAGATTTTGCTGGTTTATCCCAGGATGTTTCTGTTGCGCGGCGTCGCTTTAAGATGTTTCTCTGTTCACATTTACTTTTGTTTTGTTGCACTCCGAATCTCGAGAGAGAGAGAGAGCCGCATGGCTCACAGGGCTATAGCTAATCAACGAATCTTTAATCTACGGTTGCAAGAGTGAGCTTGGGCTCAAAGTGACGAGACGAGGCAGTGGAGACGTGGTGGTGGTGGTGGAGGAGGGGGTGTCTGCCGCACGTCGGACAGAACAAGTCGCGTTGGGAGTCACACCGGCACGGTTAACGCGGGACAGACGGAGGCCTCGGGGCGGGCGAGAGGGGACAGATCAACACACAACACACACGAGGTGGTGGACCAACACACGAGGTGGTAGACGAACACACGGGGTGGTGGACGAACACACGAGGTGGTGGACGAACACGCGAGGTGGTAGATGAACACACGAGGTGGTGGACGAACACACGAGGTGGTGGACGAACACACGAGTTAGGAGACGAACACACGAGGTGGTGGACGAACACACGAAGTTGTGGATGAACACACGAGTTGGGAGACAAACACACGAGGTGGTGGACGAACACACGAGTTGGGAGACAAACACACGAGGTGGTGGACGAACACACGAGGTTGTGGATGAACACACGAGTTGGGAGACGAACACACGAGGTGGTGGACGAACACACGAGGTGGTGGACGAACACACGAGGTGGTGGACGAACACACGAGGTGGTGGACGAACACACGAGTTGGTAGACGAACACGCGAGGTGGTGGACGAACACACGAGGTGGTGGACGAACACACGAGGTGGTGGACGAACACACGAGGTGGTGGACGAACACACGAGGTGGTGGACGAACACACGAGGTGGTGGACGAACACACGAGGTGGTGGACGAACACACGAGGTGGTGGACGAACACACGAGGTGGTGGACGAACACGCGAGGTGGTGGACGAACACGCGAGGTTGTGGACGAACACGCGAGGTGGTGGACGAACACGCGAGGTGGTGGACGAACACACGAGGTGGTGGACGAACACACGAGGTGGTGGACGAACACACGAGGTGGTGGACGAACACACGAGGTGGTGGACGAACACACGAGTTGGGAGACAAACACACGAGGTGGTGGACGAACACACGAGGTGGTGGACGAACACACGAGGTGGTGGACGAACACACGAGGTGGTGGACGAACACGCGAGGTGGTGGACGAACACACGAGGTGGTGGACGAACACAGGCGAGACGGACAGTCGGTACGCTACACGCGTGACAGCGGAGCCCAGCAGACGGTACATTTGAAGCGGAACAAAGATAACAACAATGTCTACCTGAGTTGGTTACCAAGTACAAAGATAACAACAGTGTCTACCTGAGTTGGTTACCAAGGACAAAGATAACAACAATGCCTACCTGAGTTGGTTACCAAGGACAAAGATAACAGTGTCTACCTGAGTTGGTTACCAAGGACAAAGATAACATCAGTGTCTACCTGAGTTGGTTACCAAGGACAAAGATAACAACAATGCCTACCTGAGTTGGTTACCAAGGACAAAGATAACAGTGTCTACCTGAGTTGGTTACCAAGGACAAAGATAACATCAGTGTCTACCTGAGTTGGTTACCAAGGACAAAGATAACAACAATGCCTACCTGAGTTGGTTACCAAGGACAAAGATAACAACAGTGTCTACCTGAGTTGGTTACCAAGGACAAAGTTAACAACAGTGTCTACCTGAGTTGGTTACCAAGGACAAAGATAACAACAGTGTCTACCTGAGTTGGTTACCAAGGACAAAGATAACAACAATGTCTACCTGAGTTGGTTACCTAGGACAAAGATAACAATGTCTACCTGAGTTGGTTACCTAGGACAAAGATAACAACAATGTCTACCTGAGTTGGTTACCTAGGACAAAGATAACAACAATGTCTACCTGAGTTGGTTACCAAGGACAAAGATAACAACAATGTCTATCTGAGTTGGTTACCTAGGACAAAGATAACAACAGTGTCTACCTGAGTTGGTTACCAAGGACAAAGATAACAACAATGCCTACCTGAGTTGGTTACCAAGGACAAAGATAACAACAATGTCTACCTGAGTTGGTTACCAAGGACAAAGATAACAACAGTGTCTACCTGAGTTGGTTACCAAGTACAAAGATAACAACAGTGTCTACCTGAGTTGGTTACCAATGAGAAAGTCTGAGAATGGGTTGATGTAGTTTTCTGTTAAACACGACTCCGTCGGCCTAATTTTTTTCAGCACTCCCCAAACACATTTATTTTCGATTACATATCCGCCCGTGTCAAGGGTTGTTTTCCTTTTGGGTTAAATGTTGAAGGGTTTATTTTTTCCGTTGCTGGGATTGTCTTTTGAAGGCGCTGCGAGGCCTCTGTGTGAATATCGCTACGTCCCACAACGGGAGCGTTCCACTGCAGCCCGGAGCGACGATACGGACGGTGCAGACACCAGGGGCCGCTGGACAGAGCTGAACATTTGTTAGGACGGTACGGACGAAACGGGATCGATTGCACGAACGATTGAGTGGCGTAGTGGACACAATTAATGTCGAAATTACTGGACGCCTCGTTCGCGTGGGGCTGTCTCGTTCGCGTGTGGCCCCAACGCAGCGCACCCCACGGGGCGCGACGACGCGTCCGTCCTCGCGCTTCGACGTTCGGTGGTCTCATCAGCAGCGTGCCGATCGTAAAGGTGCATTGAAAAATTTGATGCTCAGACTGATGCTTCTGTTGTTGTGGAGTAACTCATGCAGCCAGCTATGACTCTAGGATTTGGTGTTACATGTTATTAATGTAGTTTGGTGTAAAAAAAATTCGGTCACAGTCCCTGTGATCACTGTTACGTTGCAATTATGGCTTTATTTTTTGGTGATTTGGAAAACGTTTTTTGGTTTGGACATGTTTGTTTTGTTGTAGTACGGAGTTAGACTGATGGCCTTAATCTAAGTTTTCTTGTGGTTGTTGTTGTTGTTTGACTTGCATCCCACTGGGATTTTTTGCACACAGCGTTGGTGTACGGTGCTTTTTTTTCAGGAATATTTTTCTGTTTTTTCGCGGATTTTCTGTTTGCACAGTCACACATAGTCACTTTAAGATGTTTTTCTTGTTCGTGTTTTCGTTTTTTTGTTTGTTGTGGTTGCACCCGATTCTAGAGCCGAATGGCTCACAGGGCTATACCAAAAATAAAGAAACTGAAAATGAAAACTGAAAATCAGCAGCGAGACAATCCGGGCCGGAGTTTTGGTTGGCTTGCATCGAAGCAATGCTGCCGATTTAGAATGCGGCGCTCCCAGAGGGTGAGCGAGCCTCTCTACGAACCCGTCGGATCAGAGTTGGATTTCAGCGCACGGCTAACATCGGTGAGGGGCCGTCCATAAATGACGTCACGCACCTGGGGGGGGGGGTGGGGGGGGTCAGACATTTGTGACGATGTGTGACGAGGGGAGGGGGGGGGGTTTGAGAAATGTGACGTCACATCAAAATGCGCAACTTTAAATAAATATAGACAATACGTTCTACTTAATGAAATGGGTCTTTTTAAGAAATGCTTTCTCCTACATCAGAATGCAGCGCAACATTAAATACGCACTACAATGACAATAGTTTAAAGCGATTTTAAGCACGTTTTATTTTTTTTGGGGGGGGGCGGCAGAGCTTTCTGATGTCATATTTGAGGTGGGGGTCTGACTTTTTATGACGCCGTGTGACGAGGGGGGGGGGGATAAAAAATCGTCCAAAATAGCGTGACGTCATTTATGGACGGCCCCTAACGACCGGTGATGGGCCTCGCCTAGGTCGACTCGGCCTCATACGAGTACCTGGTGCGGTGTGTAAACATGAACAGCACTGGGGGAGACAAAGGCGGCTGGGCGTGTTGCTGGTCACCCACCCCCCACGTGTGCAGTGCCCGGACTTCTTAGGCGCTCGCTAACAGCACTTGCCCCCACAGTCTGTTAAGGCTACACGGGGGATCTTTGTCTTTTTCCCAGAAGGCCCTGTGACAGTCCCCAATGGGTTGTGCACAAACATTGTATTATGTGGAGGAGGAACACATTGTGGATGGGCGGGGGGGCGTATATTTGGAAGGAGGTGGCCGAAACGAATCTTTCACTATTCCTTCAATCTGGACACGGTGTGGGGAAAAGAGCTTTTCAGCTCATTGGATTCCTCCAGGCAATAAACATGCACATTCTCACATCGCACAGGCTGCTGAATCGTGCACAAATGTTTGTGTTTTTCTCTCTCTCGGCCTAGGCGGTGGAGCTGGTGGGTGGGGAGAGAATGGGGAGCGGTAGTGTAGCGGTCAGCGCTACGAACTTGACAAACCCGGGTTCGATTCTCGCTCACG